AAAGACCTTGACAGACATCTCATCAAAGAAGATACACAGATGGCAAATAAGCATATGAAAAGATGCTCCACATCATATATCATCAGGAAAATGCAAATTAAACCAATGAGATATCCCTACATGCCTATAGAAATGGCCAAAGTCCAGAACATTGACAACACCAAATGTTGGCAAGGATGTGGAGCAACACGAACTCTCATTCATTGCTGGTGGGAAGGCAAAACTGGTACAGCCACTTTGGAAGACAGTTTGGCTGTATCTTACAAAACTAAACATACTCTTATCATTCCATCCACCAAGCATACTCCTTGGTATTTACCCAAAGGAGTCGAAAACGGATGTCTACACAAAAACCTACACACAGATGTTTACTGCAAATTTATTCATAATTGTCAAAACTTGGAAGCAACCAAGACATCCTTCAGTAGGTAAATCAATAAACTGTGGTACATCCAACCAATGGAATATTATTAAGCCCTGAAAAGTCATGAAAGAACCTTAAATACATACTACTAAGTGAAAGAAGGTAATCCAAAAAGGCTATGTACTATACGATTCTAACTATATGACATTTTTTGAAAGACAAAACTATGGAAACATCAAAAAGATCAGTGGTTGCCAGGGGTTAGAGGGGAGGGAGGGATGAATAGGCAGAGCACAGAGGACTTTTAGGGCAGTGAAACCACGCTGAATGATTCCATAATGATGGATACATGTCATTATACATTTGTCCAAACCCACAGAATGTACAACACCAAAAATGAACTCTAATGTAAACTATGGACTTTGAGTGACAATGATGTGTCAATGTAGGTTCATCGATGGTAACAAATGTACCATCTGGTGGGGATGTTGATAGTGAAGGAGGCTGTGCACTGTGTGGGGGCAGGGGGATCTATGAGAACTCTGTACTTTGCGCTCAATTTCGCTGCAAACCTAAAAACTGCTCCAAAAAAAAACCAAAGTCTATTTCAAAGGAAAAAAATATACACTGGATTTGGAAGGTTCAATTCAAAATAAAGAATGTAAAAATATCTCATTAAAAAAAAAAAAAAAAAATCTCATTAATAATTTTTATTGATACATGTACATATGATAATGTTTTGGAAATTTGAGTCAGATAAAATATAATATTAAAATTAATGTCACTTTTTTCTTTTTTCTTTTTACAATGTGGCTACTAGAAATTTTTAAATGCCTTATGTGGCTTGCATTGTTTTTCTACTGGGCAGCACTGGCCTAAATCTTCAAAGCAACTGCATGACATAGGCACATTATTATCTCACAGGTGGGAGAAGTTAATGTAGCAGACGCTGCTAGTGCCCCCGGATCCCTCACATCTCCCAGGGGTCACCTGCAGCTTCAGTGCGCAGTCCCTGTACAGGCTCACAGAGTCCTAACCTCAAACATGTGCATCTCTCTGCCTGAGGGGCAGACCGGAAGTCCAGGGCAGCTAGCGCTTCTGGGACCAGCCCTCAACCAGTGGGGTGAGGAAGGGTGGATAAATACCCCAGCTTCCTCACCCTGGGTGAGGCGTGTTCTACACCAGCTCCCAGAGGGTCCCCAGTGGTATCCAGTCTCAGCTGTCCACAGAAGTAATCTGCTTTCCTTCCCCTCCTCACTTCTTTACTCCCTCACCACCTTCCTCCCCTCCCAGTGAAATCACTTGCACCCAAATGCTCCTATCAGGCTCTGCTACTGGAAGATCCCAAACGAAGACACTAGAACACAGACAGCTGGAAGACTCTCAGAGGTCGTATAAATAGGAAGAGACAGGCTGGTGATTTGATACCAGCAGTCTGACACCAGATCTCACACTCAGAAACCACACCTTGCTGCCCCTCATGCCACAGCCATGACATTCCTATGCGAGGAGGGTAGAGACTGTGCCCTCAAATCTGTCCAGCTTTGAGCTGACCCCCAAGCAGAGCAGGAAGTGCCTTCTCTAGGTTCAGATGATTTTGTCAAGAGGCTGAGCTGACCTGTCTCCTGCAGCCCTGGAAAGGACCCAGCCTGGCCTGCCCAGAGCTGTGCCTTGACACCGTGTCTGCTTCCCAGCTGGAGGGAAGCCAGGACTGCCAGCCAGTGCTTTGAAGGGCACTCGTCTTTGGACCAAAAGGACACACTGGGATCTGGGACCTGGGAAAGCTGGGGGTGGCGAGGATCCAGGGGAAGATATATGGAGCTTACTCATTAATTCAGCTTATATATGCTGGGCACTGTTGCAAATGTGTTGTGTGTGTGTGTGTGTGTGTGTGTGTGTGTGTGTGTGTGTAATAAGTGTGTATTCCTCACAGCAACCTTCTGAAGTATACACTATTATTATGCCCATTTTATAGGTGAGGAAACTGAGGAACAGAGAGGGTAAGTAACTTGCCAAGGTCACACAGCTAGTAAGTATCACAGATAGGATTCAAATTTAGGCAGTCTGGCTCTTAACCATTCCTGCATTCTGACTCTCCTGAAACTTCTGGTGAGTCTACTGCCAGCTGCTCACTCTGAGCTCTGCCTGAGTACCAGTTCTCCTGGGAGACAGGCATGAACTTCTGACTAATCCCCAACTTTAGCAGAGCCCCACTCACTTAGAGGAATGGACTGACAGAGGAATGTGCCCTCAAGACTGGAAAGCAGTAAGCTCCAGAAGGGGGGCTGTAATCACTGGAAAACGACACCCTTCCCTCCTACCCCCTCCCCCAGGGCCCCTCTGCCTTTTGACAGAGATCAATTAATAAGCACAGCCATTCAACCTCAGTGTAATTATTCCCAGCCTCATTCCCCAAATGATTTGAGGGGGCTTAAAAAGATAAATTCACAGCATCTCCACCAAAGATATTCTGATAAATAATGCCTGGTTCATTGCCTTAATGGCCTTGTCACTGACACCCTGATGATGTGATACTGTTAGATCATTACACATAGGGTGATCAGCTCATCCTGGTTTTCTTTGAACTTTCCCAGTTTTAAAACTGAAAGTTCCTTGTTCTGGGAAACCCCTCAGACAGGCAACAAGGACAGTTGTTTACCCTCATTACACAGGATACAGCCCACAAAGTCTACTTGCTAGAAGACTAAAAATTTAGCTCTGAGCTTCCTCAGAGCCAAGGCAAAGAGGGAAACACTGGGACTTCCCTGGTGGCGCAGTGGTTAAGAATCCGCCTGCCAATGCAGGGGACACGGGTTCGAGCCCTGGTCCAGGAAGATCCCACATGCTGTGGAGCAACCAAGCCCGTGTGCCACAACTACTGAGCCTGTACTCTAGAGCCCACGAGCCACAACTACTGAGCCCACGTGCTACAACTACTGAAGGCTGTGTGCCTAGAGCCCGTGCTCCGCAACAAGAGAAGCCACTGCAATGAGAAGCCCGTGCACCACAACAGAGAGTAGCCCCCGCTTGACACAACTAGAGAAAGCCTGCGAGCAGCAACAAAGACCCAATGCAGCCAAAACTAAAAATAAATTTAAAAAAAACAGAAAACAAACAAAAAAATCAGGTGGTCATAAAAAGCCTTTCTTAATATTGAGACCTAAGAAATTTCTACCATGAGTTATCACACTTGTGGTGAGTACAAAAGTGGGTTCCCTCTAGGCGCTTTTCTTACGCCTTATGTAGTAACAGCAGGCCCTTCCATAGCACATGCCATGTGCTAAGCGCTCTCACAAAACCTTCTCATACGTGAATTCATTCAAGTCTCAAAACCACTCTAGAAGGCGCACTGAGGCTCCTCTTTCCTTGGCCTGAGAGGACGCACGTCTCCCTGTCTTTCCAGGGAGAGCCAGGAGTCCACGGAGTAAGAGGAGGGGCAGGGAAAGCAGCAAGAGGGAAGAGGCCAGGGATGGGGGCTTCCAGATGCCCCTCTCCCCTCCCCCAGGCCAACACTGCCTGCCTGACATTGACTCAATGGAAAGAGTGAGCAGTGCCTGGTGTCACTCCCTGGCACCAGAGGGCATGCCAGATGTCAGAAGATCCTGTTCTGCCAGGTAACAGAACGCACCTGCAGGGCCTGCAACACGGACCCCGGGCAAAATGCCTCCTTCGCGTGTGCTCTGCGTGGTCCCGACACTCCTTACCACACCGCCCTTCCACGCCAAAATGCCAAGATCTCTTGAGCCTACTAAGCCCCTTGGACTCTGGGCAAAAAGGAGGGGGCGGGCATGACCCACCCCCCAATCCTTCTGTGACTGGGAAGCTGATGACTCCAGGGTCAGAAATAACCCCAGAGTCAGCTCCCCGTGTGCCGCCCCTCCCCTCCCCTCCCCTCCCTTCCCAGAAAGCCTGGGCCCTGAGTCAGAGGCAAGAGCCTGAAAATAAACAAGGACCCAGATAATCTGCTGTGAACACCACAGAACCACGCTGTGGAATTCCCTGATAAATCAGGGACCCAGTGAAGAACTGAGGCCTGGAAACACAGACGTCTTTCCCCCAGATCCAGCTGCGTGTGCTCAGGGCCAAATATACCTGTGCTGTGGAGGGACAGAAGAGAGAGGGGAAATCTTTAGTGCAGAGGGAGTCGGGGAGAAGGAGTGCTGGGCCTTACTCTCAGGGGTTTCCAGGCCAGGAACTGAGGAGGAGGGCCCCAGGCCTGCCCTCAGGGGGCCTCCAGTCTCCTGGCAAGGTGGACACACAGCACATGTCAGGAATAGTCAGAGGCTGGTCTGGAGTACGGAGGTGGGAGCTGGGCCACTCAGGTGTCAGATGCCCCTCCTTATTCATGCCTTCAAAACAGTGTGGGATACCGGCACCATACACCATGGCTGAGTCACTGACCCCAATCCTCAGATCAGACCGGGATGAATGAAGCTCTCCCCTCCCCACTCCTCTTCCCCTCCCCAACAGAAAGGACATGTAACTGATTCCCAGGACAGACCAGTTAACTTCCACAAGCCCTAAAAATAACGGAACCACTTCATACTCTGAACTGAGCCTCCCCCCACCCGCCCCCACCTTGGCCCACCCCCTAACCAGCCAGATAAAGGCAGCTGCTGGGGCTGGCAGGGGACAGAGACCTGGAGCCAGGGCAGCGAGAAGGCATCTGACGGAGCCGGCAGAGCAAGACCAGCCCCAAACAACGAGAGGAACAACAGCCCCTTAGGCCGCACCTGCCACAGACCCCAAACCCCCATCAGCCAAGCAGGACCCTCGGGTGAGTAACCCACCCCTTTGTCTCGCCACGGCAGGGCTGGATCTCCAGGCTGGGACCCCCCCTGGATCCTCTCAGGGTAGCATGTATGAGGGGCAGCTCTGGGTGGGGGAAGGAGGGTGAGGGGCGTGCATCTGGAGGCAGGTGAGTGGAGGGGTCTGATAGAAAGATTCCAAGAAGAGGTTAAGAGAGAGTTATCGTGAGCTCCACGGGGGGGTCCCAGAGTGGCTGCCACAGGCCTGAGGCCTGCAGAGGGGCAGGTTCCAGCCAGCCTGGCATAATCCAGAAAGGCTTGCGGGAGGAAATGGCCTGGGGTTGCAATTTTTAAAATACAGGTATGGAGCTCCTCAGGCTTCAGGGCTTCTTCCCATGAAAGCCTCAGCTAGGCCCAGTGTCTGGAAGAAAGGACAGAGGAGGCGGGGGAGAACATGGAGGCTGGAGGGGGGTAAGTGGGCCCGACTCTGCACTGGTAGGACAAGCCCGGTGCCCAGCTGCTGCGGGTGAAAGTCTTGGCATATCTGTACCGGGAATGTCTCCCCAGGGCTGGCCTGAGCCCAGCTCCCCACAAATCATGGCCTAGGGCCTGGGGTGGGATGCAGGCCATCGACTTGCCCAGTTGGAAAGCCCTTGGGGAAGATCTGGGGCGGGGTGGGTGGCGGCGCAAGGTAGGGCAACCAGATCTGAGTCTGTCCAGATGTAGAGATGTGTGGAGGTGCTGGGCCAAGAAAGAGCAGACCTGGAAGCAAAAGTAGGGGTCTCCCTGAGAGGCCGGCCCAGCCCTGGGAGGCCGAGCTCAGGGACACCCACTGAGGCTCAGGCCCTGCCCTAAGTCTTGTCCCAGCTCTGAACTCTGCCCTCATCCCGCCCCTGTCCCTGCCCTCAAGAACCACGGTGGGAAGGCCTTGCTACCACCTGGCGGAGCCTCCTGGGTCACCTCCTTCCCCTCTTGGGGCCTGTTTCCCTGTCTGAACAGTGAGGGGGTTGGGCTCAGTGACCTCTGCGGGTCCTCAGGTCTGCCATCTCTGGACTTTGCGATGCTGACAACTTGTGACCATAGTAGGAATTCTGGAGATTCCTGGGGGTGGGGATAGGGTGGAGCTGGTGGCCTGTACATACCATCTGCTCAGGCCACCTGGGTGACAGGACAGTGAGGAGGTTGGGACAGTTGAGGTCTGCCTGTGGCAGAGCATTCTCATGAGAACTCAGAGACTAAAGGAAGCACCCGGAGCAGGTAATGAGACTCGGGCTGCCGGCTTTAGACGTCACACTCCTTGGGGCTCGGATGCCTTTGGTGGACAAGTCGGGGTGGGGTGGGGCACGCAAGGCTCAGTTTCCCCCCTTCTGAGGCAGCCGTGAGAAGAAAGTCCTTCCCCCAGCCCCAGGTCGCTTCGGCCAGGAGAGGGTTCTAGCACTGGTCATGCTGTAGGCCAGGGGCCTGACACCAGCTCAGGAGGCAGGATCAGGGAGCCCAGGGCAGCGAAGGAGATGAGGTGGGCCCAGGCTCCCAGGGTCCCACTGGCTGAGCCTGACCTCTCCCCAGCGCAGGGCTGCTGTGCTGAGGCCAGGACCTTGGCTATATTTAGCACCGAGTGTGGAGCAGAGCAGTGGGTCAGGGGCAGTAAGAGGGGGAACGTGCTTCTCATACTTTCCCTACTGGCCTCTGGGGACTGTTAGTACACCTGTCACAAGACAGATAAGACACTGAGGACAGAGACCAGAGAAGGGCTTGAGCGGTGGGAGGCCATGGGGGGCAGGGATGGGAGGGGCCTTTGTGGAAGCTGATGGGCATGAAGAGGGAGAAAGAAGAGGAGCACAGGAGATTCGGGTTGCACACAACTGGGGATGAGGATCCACGAGTGAGGGGCGGGGCTATCTCTGCAAGAAGGCCCTTGGTCGCACTGCCTCCCCTCCCTGTGGGTGTCACCCTCACACTCTCCTGGGGTGCCTTCCGGGGAACAGAGGGGCACCACGGCCACTAAGAAAGCTTCACACTCCCTACCTATAGGGTCTAGGAACTCCAAGCCAGCACTGCCTGGCCCTCATTCGCCAAGATCTGACTCTAGGCCTCTTCTTTAAGTAACAGTGGTTGGGCCAGAAGATCCTTGAGGTCGCTCTAGCTCAGATCTTCTGAGTCTTGGCACAGAAAACCCCTAACTAGGATTCAGAATCAGGCTCTGCCTAACCATGAGATACCTGGTGAACCCTCACTCAACCTCGCTGCTTCCGCTGTAGCTCGGGCTGCTGGCCCCCGCTTTGCCTCCCTGGCCTGGGAAGGGTGGGTGGAGCTGGGCAGGCCACCCCCCTTGCCCCCCTCCCCCATGAAAGTGACAAGTGCGCCCTCTGGTGTTACGAAAGGAAACATAACTGATGACTATTTCTCTCCATGGAAAATAGTTACCAGTTTAGGGAACTGCCTCCCCCTGACTGGGACCCCTTAAATCAGAATTCCCCCAGGCCACTCACCTGAGAGTCTGCCAGGGAAAAACTGATTTTGGCAAAGGCAGGCAAGGACGGGCACGTCCAATTTTCCCAGTGGAGGTTTGGGCATCCCTTGGCTGAAGGACAGAGCTTCAAAGCCCGCAGTGCCCTGTTTGCTCCCTAGCAACCCAGGTGATTCTGGGGAAGCACCCTGATGGATGGCTCCATGTGCATTAAACTCAAGACTTGTCATATATCAACCACGCAGGTGGCAGGGTGAGACCCAGGCGAGGTCTGGAAAGGGAGGGGGTCTCTAAGCACATGCCACAGCAGGGCTACTCTGCCCCTGGGCCCTGCTCCCTGCCATTTCTCCCAGCAACCAGTCCCATCCCACCTAAAGCCCCCCACCCCATCCTCATCTCTGTCCCCTCTCCTCAGAAGGATGGCCGACGCTCAGACACAGGTGGCCCCCACCCCAAGCATCCCAGTGGCAGCTACAGAGGACCTGCCCCTCCCTCCACCACCTGCTCTGGAGGATCTGCCACTGCCGCCACCCAAGGAGTCCTTCTCCAAGTTCCACCAGCAGCGGCAAGCCAGCGAGCTCCGCCGCCTCTACAAGCACATCCACCCCGAGCTCCGCAAGAATCTGGCTGAGGCTGTGGCTGAAGACTTGGCTGAGATCCTGGGTTCCGAAGAGCCCACTGAGGGTGATGTCCAGTGCATGCGCTGGATCTTTGAGAACTGGCGGCTGGACGCCATTGGGGACCATGAGAGGCCACCTGCCAAGGAGCCTGTGCCCGGCGGCAATGTCCAGGCCACCTCCCGCAAGTTTGAGGAAGGCTCCTTTGCCAACAGCACAGACCAGGAGCCAGCCGGACCTCGGCCATCTGGAGGGGACGTCCATGCAGCCCGCTGGCTGTTTGAGACAAAGCCACTGGATGAGCTGACGGGCCATGCTGAGGCACCGGCAGCTACAGTGAGGGAGCCTGCAGCCAGTGGAGATGTCCAGGGTACCAGGATGCTCTTTGAGACGCGGCCACTGGACCGCCTGGGCTCCCGCCCCTCCATCCAGGAGCAGAGCCCCTTGGAGCTGCGCTCAGAGATCCAGGAGCTGAAGGGCGATGTAAAGAAGACGGTGAAGCTGTTCCAAACAGAGCCACTGTGTGCCATCCAGGACGCAGAGGGAGCCATCCACGAGGTCAAGGCCGCCTGCCGGGAGGAGATCCAAAGCAACGCGGTGAGGTCTGCCCGTTGGCTCTTCGAAACACAGCCTCTGGACGCCATCAACCGGGACCCCAGCCAGGTGCGGGTGATCCGGGGGATCTCTCTGGAGGAGGCAGCCAGGCCTGACGTCAGTGCAACTCGCTGGATCTTTGAGACACAGCCCCTGGATGCCATCCGGGAGATCTTGGTGGACGAGAAGGACTTCCAGCCATCCCCAGATCTTATCCCTCCTGGTCCAGACGTTCAGCAGCAGCGGCATTTGTTTGAGACCCGAGCACTAGACACTCTAAAGGGGGAAGAGGAGGCTGGACCAGAGGCGCCACCCAAAGAGGAAGTGGTCCCCGGTGATGTCCGCTCCACCCTGTGGCTATTTGAGATGCAGCCCCTGGATACACTTAGAGACAAGGTCCAAGTGGGTCACCTGCAGCGGGTGGGACCCCAGGAGGGTGAGCGGTTCATGTACGAGCGTCTATCCAGTGATGGTTCCTCAGCACTGTGCCTCTCTCAGAGTGCCCCCCAGAGGGATGGGGTGAAGGGAGACGTGAAGACCTTTAAGAACCTTTTTGAGACCCTACCCCTGGACAGCATCAGGCAGGGTGAAGCTTCGGCCCATGGGAGCATAAGCAGAGCAGAAGGAACTGATTCTGCTGGGCAGTCCCAGGACATAGGGTCCCCGGTGTATGCCATGCAGGATGGCAAAGGCCACCTCCATGCCCTGACCTCTGTCAGCAGAGAGCATGTAGTCGGAGGTGATGTACAGGGTTACAGGTGGATGTTTGAGACACAGCCCCTAGATCAACTAGGCCAAAACCCCAGTACCGTCGACGTGGTGCGGGGCATCACCCGGCAGGAAGTGGTGGCTGGAGACGTGGGCACTGCCCGGTGGCTCTTTGAGACCCAGCCCCTGGAGGTAATCCACCAACGGGAGCAGCAGGAACGACAGGAAGAAGAAGGAAAGCCTCAGGGAGGCCCTCAGCTTGAAGCATCCCCCAAGGGCGATGTGCAGACCATCCGCTGGTTGTTCGAGACATGTCCAATGAGTGAGTTGGGTGAGAAGCAGGGGTCAGAGGTCACAGATCCCACACCCAAGGCCAAGGCACGGTCCTGCACCTGGATGTTCACGCCCCAACCCCCAGACAGACCAGAAAGCTCCAGGGAGCAGCACCTTGAGGTCAGCCAGGTCCAGGCTGGGGAAAGACAAACAGACAGATACGTCTTTGAGACTGAGCCTCTGCAGGCCTCAAGCCATCCCTGCAGAAGGGGGCCTGTGCGATACTGCAGCAGAGTGGACATCCCCTCAGGGCAGGTGTCTCGTCAGAAGGAGGTTTTCCAGGCCCTGGAGGCAGGCAAGAGGGAAAACCAGGGATCCAGGGTAATCCCTGAGCCCATCCCAGCAGGCTCTGTGCACAAGTTCACCTGGCTCTTTGAGAATTGCCCCATGGGCTCCCTGGCAGCTGACAGCATCCATGGGGGCAACCTCCAGGAAGAGCAGCCCATGGGCCCCTCAGGCAACAGGGTGTGGGAGAGGCAACAGACTGCAACTGAGGGGACCCTGCGGACTCTGCACGCCACGCCTGGCATCCTGCACCACGGAGGCATCATCATGGAGGCCCGAGGGCCAGGGGAGCTCTGCCTTGCCAAGTACGTGCTCCCAGGCCCAGGGCAGGGCAGCCCCCACGTTCGGAAGGAGGAGCTGGTGTCTGGCGAGCTTCCCAGGATCGTCCGCCAAGTGCTGCGCCGGCCAGACGTGGACCAGCAGGGGCTGCTGGTGCAGGAGGACCCAGTGGGCCAGCTTCGCCTCAAGCCACTGAAGCTGCCAGCACCAGGCAGCAGCTGGAAGGTCGAAGACATGGACCCTGAGTTCCAGCAGTTGCTGGCTTGTGGCCTCGGGACGTCGGTGGCGAGGACTGGGCTAGTGATGCAGGAGACAGAGCAGGGCCTAGTGGCACTGACCGCCTACTCTCTGCAGCCCCGGCTAACCAGCAGGGCCCCCGAGAGGAGCAGTGTGCAGCTGCTGGCCAGCTGCATAGACAAAGGAGACCTGAGTGGCCTGCACAGTCTGCGGTGGGAGCCACCGGCTGACTCAAGTCCAGTGCCAGCCAGCGAGGGGGCCCGGAGGCTGCCCCTGACTGAGAGCATCATCCATGTTCCCCCACTGGACCCCAGCATGGGGATGGGGCATCTGAGAGGGCCGGGGGCCACCACCTGCCCCCCACAGGCCATTGGAAAGGCAGTCCCTCTGGCTGGGGAAGAAAAGCAGGAAAGCAGGTGCACTGGGCAGAAAGGGATGGAAGCTTTGGGAAAGTCAGATGGAGCCACGACTATGCCCCTGGGGCCCAGGTCCCCAAACCTCCAGGCTGCCATGCAGAGTCTGCGAATGGCAACAGCCGAAGCCCAAAGCCTGCACCAGCAAGTTCTGAGCAAGCACAAGCAGGGCCCCACCCCTGGAGCCGCCTCTATGCCCTCCCAGGATAGTCTTCTGCAAGTACCGGCCACAGCCACTGGGACTGCCCAGAGCAACACCAGGCCTCTGGCTGGAGGTGACACCAGGATCCCAGCAGCCCCCAGAAAGGTCAGTGGGGAACAGAAAGCACTGCCTGGAGGGCTGCCTAGGGGGTGGGTGACTATTCAGGATGGCATTTACACTGCTCACCCCATCAGGACCTTTGACCTACCAGGGGGTGTCTGGCTTTCTGAGAGAGGAGCCTTGCCAAGGGGCAGGGAGACTGCGCTCCCATCTCAGGCTCCCAGCCCACTCCTGGAAGGCCCAGGTCAGAGTCTCGGGCCTGGGCAAGAGGAGCCTGGGAGCCACACACAGAAGGCCTGGGGACCTCCAGAGAAGGTGATGGCAGGACTCGGCCCAGGGGTCCTCCAAGCTGCAGAGACCACCCTGAAGGCTGCCCCTTTAGCCCCCCACACTCTGGCCTCTGGGCCTCAGGCTGCAGGTGCCAGCCTGCACTCCCATAATGCCTCTGTTCCGCCTCCTCCTCCTCTCCCAGCTGCTGTGATGGGACCTGACTTCCCAGCCCAAGCCGGCCATGATGAGAATTCCATCCAGCAGGCCTCTGAGCCCACGCAGGACCCCCTTCTCCAGTCCCACAGCAGCCCTGCTGGCCAGAGAAGCCTTGGGGATTCACAGACAAAAACCCCAAAACTGGAGCCCACCACGCACCCAAGGAAGAAGCCCCAGCTGCCCCCCAAACCTGCACACCTAAGCCAGATCCCCCCGCCTCACTGGCTGCCCAAGCCCTCAGCCCTCTCTCCCAGCTCCTCTAAGGAGGTGGGGCAAGGAAAATACAGACAAGGTGAGACTGGTACAGCTGACCATGACCTTCGGCCAACCAAGGTCCCCACCACTGCAGGCCAGGGCCGAGTATCGCCGGCTGGATGCTCCACTGGACAGAGCCAGCACAGCCCCCAGCATGACTCCAGCACCGTGGCCCCCAGGCCCACCAAAAGTCAGGCTGCGGGCAGCAACGACCAGAGCCCTGAGCCCCTCAAGCTCTCAGCTCTCAGCAGTGACCCTACCTCACCACAGCAGGGCCCCAGCCCCTCAGGAAAGAAGTGCACAGATGGTTCCCAGCAAGGGGTCCCTGAGAGCTCCAAGATTCTGCAGGGAAGCCAGCAAGAGCTCCAGGGCCTCCTGAGCCAGGTGCAAGCACTGGAGAAGGAGGCCAAAAGCACTGTGGACGTGCGGGCATTGAGGAGGCTCTTTGAGGCTGTGCCCCAGCTGAGAGGGGCCCCTCCAGCTCCTGCTGCCCCCAACAAGCCCGAGGCCTCAGTGGAGCAGGCCTTTGGGGAGCTGACAAGGGTCAGCACGGAGGTGGCCCGGCTGAAGGAGCAGACCCTGGCCAGGCTGCTGGACATCGAGGAGGCCGTGCACAAGGCCCTCAGCTCCATGTCTAGCCTCCAGCCTGGGACTAACACCAGAGGCCATTCCCAGGGACCTCTAAAGGACCACAGTGCCCACAAGGTCAGTGTCACAGACAGCAGTAGAGTCAGGCCCAACTGCCCAGGCCAGGAGGTCAGGAGTCAAACTGAGGCTACATGCCACACTGAGGTCCAGGGTCAGGCCAAGGTCAGAAATCACACTGAGGCCAGAAGTCAAGCAGCCCCAACCACCCCTTCTACTCGGAGGCTGGAGACCATGAGAGAAGAGTCAAGCCTCCCTCGAGTGTTACCTCCCAGCAGAGATTCACCCTCCTCCCCAACCTTTATCTCCATCGAGTCGGCCACTAGGAAGCTTCTGGAGGCTCCCAGCCCCAGGTGCAGCCCCAAGGTCTCAGTGAGAAGCACACACCTCCCCCAGGATGTGGGCCAGGCTCAGCCCCACCAGAAAGATGTCTGGGACAAGGCCAGGAAGAAAGAAGCCACCCAGTGCTCCGGACAGCCCCAGCATGCCCCTGCCTCAGCCAGCCCCCTGCCCACCAGGCAGCAGAAAAGTGTTCTGGAGCTGCAGACTGGGCCCGGTGGCTCCCAGCACTATGGAGCCACAAGAACAGTGACCGAGCAATACGAGAGGGTGGACCAGTGCAGGACCTCAGTGCTCACCTCCCCCACCACGGTCACCGAGCCCACAGAGCCACCCAGGGGCCCAGGCCCCCACCTCGGGCTCCACGCCTCCCCCTTGATGAGGCAGTTCCTGCACAGTCCAGCCGGGCTCAGCACAGGCCTGGCAGAAGCTGGGAAGGTGTGTGTGCCCTGCAGCCACTCCCAGCCAGCTGCCCAGTGAGCCCCTCCACCTCCCACCACAGCCTCCCACCCATCCCCAGGGCCCTGGGACGGAGGTGGGTGCCTACCTCCTGCACAGATGAGGCAAGGACCAAAAAGAAAGGGCATCTTCTGAGACTTGTGGAAAGTTTCCTTTTCATCAGTTCTTGCCAAAGGGGGGAAAGAAAAGTAGAAAGAAGCCCCTCTGAGTAGCCCAAGCCCAGGAGCTGGATGGGGGCTCACAGCTGCTCGCGGAGGATGTAATCTGTACAGGCACACACGCTCCTCTCACAGGCCTGGCCCGCGTGCCAACACGAGTGAGTATGCACGCCACTGCCTGAGACAGAGCCCCGTGAGTGACCTTCAGCCTTCATTTCTTTTAATACAAGTCAAATGTTCTTAGTCTTCTGCTCCTTAATTCCTGGAGAGGACAGGGCCAGCTGCACTGGTCTCTGTTTCAGATTGGCTAGGGCCCCAGAAGGGCCCCTTCATTACCATCTCTCTCATTCAGCGAGTCATCCTGGCAGCACAAAGGTCATACAGAAAAGGTCGGTGATCACCAATGTCCCTAGAAGCCAAAGGTTCTCTCCACCCCCAATGCCCCTGACTCTGTACCCCAAATGGGAAGGATACAGTCTGAATAAACCCAAGTTTTATTCCCTCCTCTCTGTGTCTAACTGTGCATCTGTCCCAGAGTCTGGATTCTCACTGTAGGGGAAAAACAGCCACACCTCCAGGTGCCCTGTGTTCCTGGCAACAGCAGTGTTAGAAAGCTCTGAAAAGCCACCCCTTCTTCTACCATCTTGGTTGGGAACCAGAAAGGCCTGCCCATCCCCCATTCTCCTTGCTCCCCATGCCCCAACACATACATACACTGCTGCCCCCTACCTTGGACACCACCCTGGAGTGGAATCTGAACAGAATCTTGCCCCAGAGTGGAAGAATGGCCCAGTCAGGCCCGGGAAGGAGGGAGGGCCACAGCCAGGAGAACTCCAGTGGCCAAGACTGCTAGGCCACCTTCCTCCTGGTCAGGCCAGGTGCAATGTTTAGAGCAGAGGTTCCTGGGAAGGGGAGGGCACAGATCCTGGCCTGGAAAGTCAGAATGATCTGGTGAAGGGCCCTTTTCCACACTTTGAAAAAGCAATGAGCGCCTGCGGCATGCCAGGCCTGTTCTAGGCAGCTGGGACACAGAGGTGAGGTCTAATGGGGTCATACACTCAGGGAACTGACTTTCTAGAATGAGGAGGCAGAGAGACTATGAATAAACAGGAAAAATCAGTTCAGGAATAAGGGTTATGCGCCTGACTAAGCCATTCTCCCACTCTGGGGTAGGAATCTTAAAACATGATGATGTGACATGTGCCTTAGAGAGTGTGGCCAAGGCACACCCCTCCAAGGAGAAAAAAATTTTCAACTGAGATCTGAATAACAAAAAGCCAGTTATGGGACAATCAGAGGGAAGTGCCAGCTAGGCAGGGGGACGAGCACATGCAAACACCCAGAGGTGGGAGTGAGTGTAGTTCCTGGATTGCCTAGACACCCTTCCGTATAGGTGGACAACTACGATTGTCCACCCCTGCCTCCCCCGACGCACACACGCGTCCTGCCCCCGATGAGGTTAGGTGGAAACTTGTCCATACTTTGCTTTTGTTGAACAGGTAGGCTCCCATCATACCACCAGCCCAGGGATCAGCCCTCCACACCCCTCCCAGCCCCATCATTGCCTGCTCCACTGACAGGGGTTCCCCTGGGGCAGCAGAGCTCTGAGCTGGAAGCAGCCTGTCCCCTGGAAGACTGGTGTGTATAAGCAATTAAGATAGCAAATCGGCCTACCTGGGCCGGCTACACATCTCATTATTACCCCCTCGCCATGGGTTACCCTCCCCCGTCCTCTGTGGGATCTCACTTGATTACAGGGCCCAGTAACTTATGGCATGACTGTTCTCAGTGTTCCCATTTGTAAAGTGGGCACGATTATAAGTGCCTACTATTGTGCAGATTAAGTGAATTAATATATGTAAAGTGCTTGGAACTATGCCCAGCGTCTGGAAACTCAAGGCTGTTCACTTCTCCTACTGTAATTATTAGTTTTAATCTATCTCTTGTTCTCACCTCCAGGTGGACTCCCTGTCTCGTTCATCTCAGTATCCTTACTGCTTATCACAAGTGCCTAGAAGGCACTGCACAAATGTCAAATAAATGAACCCCTGGGTGAATGAAACGATTGAGTGAATTCACTGATTCATCCAACTAACATTTATTGAGCACCTACTTCATGCCAGGTTCCAACCAGGGTGCTGAGAATAGAGATGAACATGGCAGAATTTACCCCTGACCTCGTGGAACTTAGAGAAGGAAGACAATATATTATAAGCAGAGAAGGTAATTTTAGAAGGGAGCGATACTGTGAAGGAAATAAAAACAAGGTCAGCCCACGAGAGGAGAATTGGCAGTTACTTTAGCTTGCGTGGTTGGGGAAGGCATCTCTGAATGACAGAGGAAGCCAGTCCTAATAGCTGGAGGTGGCGGCCTAGGGGGAAGAGTGGGGAGAGGTTGGTGGATGGGTAGTGAGCGCACCAGAGGCAGCACGCATGGAGAACAGCGGCCGCTCGGTAAGGCCTCGCCCAGTGCCCTCACAAGCTATCACACCTGCCATCACACCTGCTGCCGAACCCCAGGCACCGCCTCTCCTCCTGCCGGGGGAGTGGGCGGCATTCCCACGCGGGCCGACTGGGGGCGGAGCATGCGGCGCCCAGACCCCGCCCCTAGCCTGGAGGGGGCGTGTTCCCACCCGCCGTCGCCAAGGTGACAATGACATCACCTCGGCCGCTGGGTTCGGAACTTTTCGGGCGGCGGTAGCCGTTGCTGGGAAACACCCGGCAGGCGCGCAGCCAGGGGCAGGCTCCGCGCCGCAGACCCCGGACGCCAGTACACGCCGTCCTGGCAGGCCCCTGCTCGGAGCCTCCCTCCCGGATTCCAGAAGGATGCCAGTTCCGGTCCTCACCCCTGCCGCGGCCCCATCCAGGACCGTCCTGCCGGCCGGGCGCCTCCTTCCTTCTCATTACTCTGTCACTGCCTCTGTTCCGAGCGTATCCAACAGTCCCATCTTCACCGCCATCACCCTGTCCCAGGCCACCATCCATCCCCCCTTTCCTGGACCACTGCCATAGCCTCCCAAGTGGTCTTCCCTTTGCCCTGTCTTTACAGTCTGTCATCCACCTGGCACCCAAAGCTCTTATCAAGAGTTTACCAGACCAAGTCACTCCTTTATAATACCCTCCACAGGTTTTCAGCTCACTCAGCCTGAAATCTAACTCTTCTCAGGGGCCTGTAACACCAGAATGCCTTGCCTCTCAACCTTCCTCTCCAGCTTCATTGCCCCACTCTCCTCCTCACCCACATGCCCCTAGTTACACTGGCCTTCCTGATCTTCACAGAACACACCAAGCTGATTCCCGCCTCAGGGCCTTTGCACCTGCTGTACCCTACGCTAGGAAGTCTCTTCTGCAAGATCTTTAGTGGCTGGGCTCTTTCTCACTCACATTCCAGTTCAAATGTCTCTCCAGAAAGAACTTTCCTGATCCATACCTCCTCTGCCTCCCCCACCTATCCCGACACCCACCCACTGCCCACCTATAGCGGCCTTCCTCCAAGTTATCATGCTGTGCTATTTTTGTTTGTTTTCCTGAGAACCTATCACAGTAGAAAAGTATCTTGCTCACATATTTGCTTGTTTATCGTCAGCGTTCTGCATACTATTCCTGCATGGCAAACCACCCCAAATTTAGTGGTTTAAAAAACCATTTTATGGTGCTCATGAATTCTGTGGGTCAGGAATTTGGACAGAACACAGTGGGCATGATGTGTGAGGCCTCAGCTGGAAAGTCTCAAAGGGTCGGGTAATATGACAGCTAGGGTCTGCAAACATCTGAAAACTCACTCACTCACTCACTCAAATGTCTGGCAGTTGATGCTGGCTACTGGCTGGGACCTCAGCTGGAACGTCAGCCAGAACACATATGTGTGGCCTCCCCGTGTTGCCTGGGCCTCCTCACATTATGGGAGTCTCAGGGTAGCTGGACTTCCTGTGTTGCATCTCATTTCCAAAGGCGTGTGTCCCAACTAACAAGGCAGAAGCTGTATTGCCTTTTATGATCTAGCCTCAGAAGTCACACACAATCACTTCTGCATTATGTTGGTTACAAGTAAGTCACAAGTCTGTGTATATTGAATGGAAGGGGTATTAGACACTACCTGTTGATGAGGAAGAGGCAACGTTCTAGAAGAATATGTGGCCAACTTTGGAAAGCGCCATCTCCACAGGCAAATCTCCCTCCACTGGAGTATCATCTCCATGCCAACCACTTCTCATTTGTTTATTGTTGCATCTCCAGTGCCTAGAATGGTACAAAAGCACATAGTAGGTGCTCAATCCATGTTTTAGAGTGAATAAATGAAGGTTTGTCTTTCAAGGAGTCAGTTGAGCCCAGTTCTTCTCCCTGTAAGTATAGTTCCTATCCCAGCCCTTGATTTTGGTCTGGTCTGCTCTGGAGGAAGCCCAGTGTTTGCGTTGGAAGGTGGGAATCACGTATAGTTTTTTGTTTGTTTTTTGTTTTCTGGCAGGGACTGCAGGGTGGGGGAGAAAGGGCAGTTATTGGGGATTGAGCAACATGTAGCCAAATGAGATTCTGGAACAGTGTTCTACTGTAAGGGGTGTTGAAAACCCAGTCTGTTTCTTCTCATTCTGAACTCTGGAAATGCCCAGGTGAGGACTGTGGTTTTGTCTTCTGGGCCATCTGGGCAAGAGGTGGCCCTGAAGCCCCCCACACACCTATTAAGGTATGCAAACTCTCCCTGCTTTGTGACTGGTGAAGGACCCTCCATTTGATCTTCCCAAAGTCCTGAAGCCGGTACAGTTTCTCCTCTTGTTTTCTCCTGTCCAGGAGGGATGAGCCAGAGAAGTCAACCCAGGCTTCTCCAGGCCCCATCTCCTCACATCAATCTGTGGCTTACCCTTCCCCCTCCCTTCCATCTCCACTGTGGCTCAGGAAGAGTTTGGATGTCATTACAGCAACAGCGATCCCACTGCCCTTCCCACCTCCAGTGCCACCCCCAAACTGTCAATCCTCCAGTCCAGCCCTGCAATGGCTCCTCACCACCTCCACCATAAAATCCACACTCCTCACGTCATTCAAGGCCCTTCTTGTTCAGCTGCCGCCTGTGTTTATTGCCTCTCTCGCTCCATTCCCCCAAGAGAATCAGAACTTCCAGGTCCTTTAATGTTCTATCCAGGCTTTGTCACCCCACCCTGGCTTTGTCCAGGGTCAGCTTACCCACTGGGCACAGCAGGCATGGATGGAGCCTCAGGCCCACAATACTTGATGGGCTCATGAAAATATTCTTCTTTTAAAACCAACAGGAAAAAAAGAACTTTTGGGTAGAAGAAAATGGTTTAGTATATAACATTAGTAACCACCACAGTTGTTAAATATATTCTTAAATATTTTTTTATGGAGGAAGGAGCCCATGAAAGCCCGAGTGCCTAGGGCTTACGAAAGTCATAATGCAGCCCCCCTCATTTCCCCCTCCGGTTCATTTCTGTAAGCTTGGTGTTGAAGACACAGCTCTGAGGCAACCTTTTGAAGGAAGCAGAAGCCATGGAGGGTGTCCTTCTCTGACCTCTCAACTTTATGCAGTTTTGTAGCTTGGAAAACACCGTTGTAAACTTTCCGTTTTGTACGTGTCCCCACTCCCCCCCTACCGTTGGTACCTGCGAGTCAGCGACACACACACACTTTTTCTCCCTCATGAAGGTACCCGCTCCCCACCTGTGGCAGAGCTGCCAAGTTAGACAACTATCTAACTTCGGAAGAAAATTCTGGCAGAGGCTCAGCCTGGGGGACACAGCAATTGGCTCCTGGTCCCAAACCTGTAGCGACGGGCGCCCGGACGCTAGTCCCGGGGTGGCGCGCGCACCCGGCCGCGGTGGGTGTGGGGGGCGTGGGGGACGTGGGGGGGGGGGGGGGGGGGGGGGGGGCCTCGGGTCTAGCAGGCGGCCGCTCGGCCTCACGCCGCTGCCAGCTCCACCCACACCCGACCGGAAGGAGGAAGCTGCCTCTGAGTGGAGAGCTCCGGCCCTCCCCTGACGCAGCCCCTTCCTCCTCCCCTCCCGCCTCTCCCGTTAGTTTTCTTACGAAAAAGTGCTGCTGAGAATTCCCAGAAGGTCCCGGATGTGAAGTCACCGGCGTGAGGTCACCGAGCCTGGTTCCAGGAATCTGAAGCTTGTGGGGGAGGAAGGAAAGCGCCGAAAACAGGGGAGCAGGGGGGGAGCAAGTGGAGCCGTGGCTTTTGTTGGCGGGGGCCCCCTGGCTCCCCTGAGTCCCCCGCTTGTCTCCAGCTGGGTCTTCTGACCCCAAGAGAGGTTCCAAGGGAAAAGATGCTTCACTTCTCCCATAGTATAGAAATGCCAGTTGAAACCAATATACTGATCCAAAAGGAATGTTTATCCACTTTTGGGAGGCGGAGGGGTGGGAGAGAAGTGGAGAACAACCTGGCATTAGGATCAGAATTTTAAATGAACATACCCTTTGACCTAACAGTTGCGCGTACAGTAGCTCTATCACCTACTAACTAACCTTGGAAATCATACAGTATCACTTGCACATTTTGTTCATGATAGGTCACTAAGGCTGGCCCATATTCAAGGGGAGAGGAATTAGATTCCCTCTTTTGATAAGTGTGAAAGAATTTGCAGCCATGTTTTTAAACCATCACAGCTGTTATTATTGTGGCCCTTAGTATACTCTAGCTTCTAGTAAGTGAATTATCTCACTTCTTACTTATCAGCTCCACGTGGGAGAGCAAGGATTCATTTGATTCGTTAAGATCTCAGCCCCTCATCGCTTCCCAGTGAACCTAGGGCCCTGTTCACTGCAGAGCTCGATAGATGGTATAGAAATGAATTTCCTCTTGCAGGAGCTGGCCTTGGATATCGTGCTCCACTTCCACTGGATGACATCCCTGTTGGCCCCATAGAAACCATCATCGACACATGTGAGAATTGTGAGTGTAAGGGGATATGAGTGGGGCATGGCAGGGTCTGCTACACAGACAAGCAATTTTGTTCACATACATTTCATAAATGTGGGATCAGTGATCATTTCCACAGAAATCCCATGACCTTTGTAATCATCATCATGGTCTTGTAGGCACACCTGTACCACGAGGAGTGAGTTGGCCAGTTCAGCTCAGTTCATACTAAAGAGAATGCCATGGAGTCTAGTTTAGCTTGCTAAGAGATTTTTCACACCATTTACATGTGATTGTTTACATGTGTTATATTTCCATTTTATTGTTACTATTATATGGTAGTATGGCCCCAAATCATAAAGATGGATCAGTAGTTCAAAAGAGGTTCATTGGGCTTCCCTGGTGGCACAGTGGTTGGGAGTCCGCCTGCCGATGCAGGGGACACGGGTTTGTGCTCCGGTCCGGGGGGATCCCACATGCCGCAGAGTGGCTGGGCCCGTGAGCCATGGCCGCTGAGCCTGCGCGTCCGGAGCCCGTGCTCCGCAACGGGAGAGGCCACGGCAGTGAGAGGCCCGCGTACCGCAAAAAAAAAAAAAAAGGTTCATTAAAGTATAAAAATAATATTGAATATAGCAAAAAAAACACTGCAATATAAAATATGATCATATATACCAGAGTAAATGAGTGTGTAGAATGAGATAATTTTACACAAGGAGAAAAAGAAGTGTGACTCAGAAAGACAGATACGAGAATGAATATCTGAAACTGGGATTCTGTTAGCTGGTAATCATTTTGCCCTGGAGGCATCATCTCTTACGAAACTCTGTCAAACAGTGGCAGGAAGCCCACTGAGACTTTTGCATCCTCTTCACATCAGATCCCGTAAGGTAGTTAGAAAACCAATCAAGTCTTTCCATAATATGGGTAAAATAATACCGTCCAGTGTGTTCAAGATACATTTTGTCACTAAAGACAGAGAAAAGATCAAAACCAGAGAGGCATCATTAAAGGTGTCCAACTTACAGTGAAAACCTACACACTTCAAACTATGACATGTAAATTGAGTCATAAACTACTGAGGAAAAGCAGAGCAAGCTCCTAGCAAGATTACTTGATCAAACAACACTCTTTTTTTTTAATTAAATGAGTCTTTTTATTTACTTGACTTTTTAATATTTTCATTCTTTTTTTTTAAAATGGTGACTCCTTTTCTTTTTGATAAATTTATTTATTTATTTTTGGCTGTGTTGGGTCTTCATTGCTGCGCACGGGCTTTCTCTAGTTGTGGCCAGTGGGGGCTACTCTTCGTTGTGGTGCGTGGGCTTCTCATTGTGGTGGCTTCTCTTGTTGCGGAGCACAGGCTATAGGCGTGCAGGCTTCAGTGGTTGTGGCACGTGGGATCAGTAGTTGTGGCTTGCGGGCTCTAGAGCTCAGGATCAGTAGTTGTGGCACATGGGCTTAGCTGCTCTGCAGCATGTGGGATCTTCCTGGACCAGGGATCGAACCCGTATCCCCTGCATTGGCAGGCGGATTCTTAACCACTGCACCACCAGGGAAGTCCCCAAACAATACTTTTGGATGTCACATGAAATAAATGGCACATAGTGTGAAAGAGCAATGGCTGTCCTAAGTGAGTACTAGCAGACAGTTGGCTTTGTTGTTGAATACAAACCACTTGTGGCAAACCTTGTTCATCGTTGATCCAGAAATTTATTCCATCCCTTCTTTCCTGATTTTGATCCATACACCAAGGTCTCCAATCTCAGGCAATTAATTACAAGTGGTCTAAATCAATCATGACCAGCCCATTTCCCACTTTCCCAGTCTCCTTTGCTGCTACATGAGACCCAGTTCTGTCCTATTAAATACGATGAAAAGTCTGCTGAGGGTACTTCTATCTATGAAAATTTTTGGTTTTGTTTTGTTTTGTTTTCAGAAAATGGGTATACGTGCTGGTACCCCCCCTTCCCTCTTATTCCTGACTTAACTATGGTCATGATGCCTGGACCTGGGCAGCCATCTTGCACCTATGAAGCAACCAGCACAAGGTAAAGGCTGAGAGAATTCTAGAGACTCCAGCACTGACACTATTGAATGTCAGTGGCTGCCACCTTCCAGCCTTCCCATTACAGTACACAAGTAAACTGTAGTGAATTCTCTATTATTGGTAATTGAAAGCATTCCTAATGGGTGTACCACTGATGTGTCAGCTTGCCACGTATTTTCCAAAAACACAGGAAGGAAATGTACCTGCTGACTTTTTGTTCTATGTATCACTGAATTCCTTTGCAAGATTAGATGAATGAGCTTCTGGTTTCCAGTTGGGTTCAGCCATGGGGAGATCCAGCAGGGACAGGAGAGGGAAGCGAATGAGATCAGGTATTCAGTTCTTTGGTTTCCTGCCTGTGAGTCTCCATGGGTTGGATGTATCCTCCAGTGGGGGGCCACTGGTCCTCCCAAGGCAGCCAGCCCACTCAGTTCTCTCCCTTCTAGTGACCTCTCCCTTCCCCCCACATTTTCCCTTCAGGTCTATTGGTGGTAACAGCTCTGCTGCTGCTCATCCAGGTTATTGCACCATCCCTTGGGGTGCTCCTACACCTACATGTTTGTAAGTAGTACCATTGTAAATAAGCTTTTCTAAAGTGATCCTGTTTTGAGAGTGCCATTATCTGATGGTACACTGACTGTCAGATTTAAAAGAAAACACACACACACACACACACACACACACACACAACTTGCATCTGAACACCAGCCACACACCACTGTATTCACAAAGACCAGCTGTCAGGCAACAATCTGGCTCCTGATCTCGATATGTGTAGAAACAAATAGCAAGAAGAGTCAATGCCCTCTATTCATGCCTCTCCAGCTATGCCTTTTCAGAATACTGTGTGGAGAAATGGACAGCAAGTAAAAGACACTGTTGAACAAAGTATGCTGGCTGTTGAGGGAAAGATATTCACATGAGGTTTTGAAATAAGAGATGAGATACAGCGTCCCTTTGTGGTACCGATAGCTCTTTGCCACAGGTGGCTCGCTCACTCAAGAAGCATCTCAGTGGCATGTTCAGTATCTTGGTTACCCTGAACCTTTGGCTTCAGGGCGAGACTATCACTATTTTTCATGTTGAGGATATCAAGAATTTTGTTTTGTTTTGGTTTTTGTTTGTTTGATTCTAAGGATATCAAGAATTTGAAGACAGAACTGTGGTGCCAAGGCTCAGCCTTTGAGAATATGACTCTTTCCCTACATTTGAAGGTTTTCTTCTCTTGGCAGAGAAATAAATCAATATAAAGGCAACCACTAGAAAAATTAAAAACAGACTATAAAACTTCAAATCATCAGACAAAAATACAAACACATGTGAGCACACACACATACATATCAAAGAAAACAAAAAAAATGCATGTAAAACATAGAAAACAGAGGAAGCATTAAAATAGAAAACACAGCAGAAGATAAGATGACAGAAGTAAGCATAATACATGTTATATCAAGAAATGTAAATAGAATAAACCCATGTTATAACAGAAAAAAAGATTATGAGATCATAAAACAATGTTCTATTGTATGTTGTATAGAAGAGATGCATCTTTACCAGAATCACTCAGAGAAGTTAAAAATAAAATATAAACCAAGGTATACAAGAAAATACTGAGCTGAGGCTGCAATGTTACTCTCAGTCAAGGTCAAATTCAAAATAAAAATGCTAAATGAGAGAAAAGGAAGTTAAACAGGAAAGACAGCAGTATCCACGTTAAGAATCTAGTTTTTTGAAATCTCTAGCATAGCTTCAAAACCAAGAATAAGATATGAGAGTTGAGAATAACAGTATACATACAGAAAATGCAAAGAGAAATTGGATGAGACATGAGTACATTTTAACTGACCTCATCGGCTCATGACCTAGTAAGAAACAAAAGATAAGGAGGAATGTGGGGAATCCAAATAGTAATTAGTAATTAAATATGATAGAGCATGAGGTGCAAAAATCTCAAATAAAATACTAGCAAATATAAATCAACAATACCTTCCAAGAATCATTCATCATATCCAAGTAAGTTCATTCTAGTAATGCAGGTGGCCCAACATTAGGGAATTTGTAATAAAACTGACCATATTAATAGATCAGAGAAGAACTATATAACATCTCAATACATGCCAAAAAGACATTTGAAAAATATCCCACATCAATTCCCGCTTAAAACAAACAAAACCATAACAGAGTAGCTAAATTATGCATAGACGATATGACTGAAAAATGCACAACCGACGATGCACAACAGACAATAAGAGAATTCAAAATGATGGCAGTTTACAAAGCTTAATATACAAAACTCAGTAGCCTTCCTCTACATAAAAAAATACAATTTACCAGAATATATAATAGCAATTGCACTTATAATAGCAATCAAAAAGATAAAATATTCAGAACAATACTTAAAAGACATATAAGGGCCTTTATGAATATTAAAATTATACAGGGAACATTCTATACTGACCTTTTGAATAGAAAGACCCAATATTATAAAAACATCAATGCTCACTTAATATATCAATTCAATGTGATTCTAACTAAAATACAGGATTTTAAGGTGGGGAGCTTGTCAAAAAATGATATGAAACTCAAATGGGGAATTAAATAAGGGGCCGGGAAAGCCCTGTAAAAGAAAAGTAACACGATGCGGCTACACCTATCAGATGACAAAACACATTATGAAATTGTAATTTGTAAAGAAATTTGGTACCCAAAGATGAAATAGACAACCCAGTGGACCAAAGTAGAGAACTAGAAACAGACTCCAGAACACATGAGAATTCAATTTCTGTTTAAGGTGACATTTGAATTAAAAGAAAAAGGTGGTAGGAAAATAAATCATTTGGGGGAAGAAATAAAATGGAAACCCTATACCATACCTTAAGTCAAAATAAATTCCAAATGGATGAAGGATTTATACATTTAAAAATAAGACCGTAAAGGTCTTCCCTGGTGGCACAGTGGTTGGGAGTCCCCCTGCCAATACAGAGGACACAGCTTCGAGCCCTGGTCCAGGAAGATCCCACATGCCGCGGAGCAACCAAGCCCATGCGCCACAACTACTGAAGCCCATGGACCTAGAGCTCGTGCTCCGCAGCAAGAGAAGGCACCGCAATGAGAAGCCTACGCACTGCAACGAAGAGTAGCCCCTGCTCGCTGAAACTAGACAAAGCCCGTACGCAGCAACGAAGACCCAACGCATACTGATAGGGAATGCAACACACAAACACCAGGATCCCTAAGGTAAATATTTAAGAAATTTGGCTACATAAAAATTTTAAACTTCTGTATGATAGAACATACTATCAACCTGGGTAAAAAGCAAACCAGGATTAAGTGCCACATGTGTGACAGACAGAAGGGCTCATCCCCCTAATCCTCAAAGACCTAAAACAACACAAGATAAGTAAAGAATATAAACCCGTGGTTTAGAGGGAAACACAAACGGCTTATAAGAGCCTCAATTTCACTCATAATTAGAGCAATGCAATTAAAACGGTAAGATCTCTTCTTGGTTTCTCCTATCAGATTGGCAGAGATCAATAAGTTTGATAACACTCAGTGCCAGGGAGGGTGTTGGGAAACAGGCACGCTCAAATACTACTGGTTGAGAGTAAAATTGGTGCAACTCTGGGGAGGGCGATTTGGCAATATCAGTCAAAATCCTTTGACCCAGAACTCAACTGCTCAGATTTTCAATCCACAGATTTACACTAAAAAGTCTTCCAGTTTAGATGAACAAGAATGTTCAGGAAATGTGCTTGAAGACGTTCCCCTCTCCTGGTTTTCGCTTTCCACAGCCTTAGCTCAGTGGGTCCCAATCTTTGATGTGCATCAGAATCAATGGAGGGCTGGTTAGAATGCAGGTTGCTGGGGCCACGCTGCCAGAGTTTCTGATTAGTGGGTCTGGGGAGGACCCAATAATCTTCATTTCTAACAAGTTCTCGGGTGATGTTGATGCTGCTGGCCTGGGAGCCACACCTTTAGCCTGTTTGAGGGACTAGGGTACGTGGAGGGATGGAGGCTTGGAGAGATGAGTTCCTTTGAGGGAAAGGAGGAGGAGGCAAGGTGGAGAGGAGCAGGATGCTCCCCAGGACTGGGCAGAGGAGGAGGTGGTAGGCTGAGGTTATCCCCAGAGGGATGTTTGAGCCTCCTAAGGAGACAGGACTTAGTCCCCGTTCCCAGTCTCACTAAAGACTCCTTCCTTCCCTTCCCACAACCGAGGTTGGCTCAGAAACAGCAGAGCCCACCTACTCTCTGTGAATCCATAGGCGTGGTTAGGGGCATGCTACCCATGAGCAGAAAACATGGACTGAAGATCAGAGAGCCAGGCCATCTGGGACAGAGAAGGCATCCCCACTCCTCAGACAAACTTTGGAGGCAGCATATGGGAGAGGGTCCCTGCTGACTGAGGTTGAAGTTCTCCTTGGGACTTAGCTGCTTTGATTTGATTTTGAAAAATAATATTTTTTCAGCCAGGGTGCTGGGAAAACTGGCTATTCACATGCAAAAGAATGAAGCTTGACTCTGACCTTATACCATATACAAAAGTTAACTCAAAATCGATCAAAGACATAAATGTAAGAGCTAAAACTATAAAACCCTTAGATGCAAAAACCATGAACCTCCTTGCACCTAAGAATCATGGTGGAATAAAACTCTTACAGTAATTTAGATGGAGAGAAACCTAAAGAGCTGAACCTGACCTGTGAGCCCCAGGTATCCCTCACTGGTCAGGAGGTAGACTTACTGGTGGACAGCTGAGATCAACCGCATCCCTTTCACAGTTATGGCACTATGATTGTCATCCCCTCCTCCCCTCCTTTTATCAAGGTTAGACTTACATACAGTGACATAAACAAATCTTAAGAGTAGACCTTGAATTTTTACGTATGTATATGCTTGTCCAAGCATTGTCCAGAATAAGATATAGAACATCTCCAGTACCCCAGAAGGCTTGTCACCCTTCCTAGTCAATACTCACAAAGGTAATATTATCTGTCACTGTGCTTTAGTTCTGCCTATTTTTAAACTTCATATAAATAAATGGAATCATAGTTATTCCTCTTTCGTGCTTGGTTTCTTTTACTCAACATAATGTTTTAAAGATTCATCCTTGTCATTATATGAGGCAATTGTTCTTTTTCATTGCTGTGTAATATTTCATTTTATGATAAATCATAGTTGTTTTCAGTCACCTATTGGACATTTGCGTTGTTTCTAGTTTCAGGCTGTTATGAATAAAGCTGCCATAACATTCTTGTAAGTGTGGACATAAGCACCTTTTTTTCTCTTGGGAATATACAGAGCAGTAGAATTATAAGATCATAGAGTCTGGCCTTAGTAGGTACTGCCAAATTATTTTCCAAACTGTATCAGTTTACCCTCCCAACAACAATGTATGATAAATCTGATGAATTCTCAATCCTGCTGCATTTAGTACTTTAAAAAAAAGTCCTTTTAATTTTAATCTTTTGGATGGAAATGCATCATTAATTTTTAATTTAAAAAATCTATTTAAAACTAGTAGTACTTTTTTATTTACCTAAAATTGGGTGGTCCATGGATGCTGAATGTTTGAGAAACTTGTGGGACTCTCCAAAGTATTCAAAAATTCCCTGAGGGTGTGTGGGTGTGTTTTTGCCTATGTATGTGCCATAGTCACAGATGGATGCTGCTCCAGACCCACCCTCCTTGCCTTGGAACAGACCCTTCATTTCCCTACCAACAGGAAGAGCTTACTTGTGATCCCAGAGGAAGATGTTTCTCATCACCAGCAACATCTGGGGAACATCTGGTGAGCCCATCCCAGGACAGGGAGATGCTTTTCTAGAGAAAACACATCACTTATTTGATTCTTTTTATTCTCCTATGTTTTCCCTTATTTTCTCCTTCTTTTCCTGCCTCCCAAACCCTGTCAACCATTGGCCTCCCTGCTCTAAGCCCCCTCTCCAGCCCTTGCCAACTCCCTGCTCTGGTCTCTGTCCTGTCTGGTTTCCCTCATACACAGCCCAGCAGGATGCAAACTGAGACAGCCTGAGAGACCCTCATTAACTAGTGCTCAACTCTACCCAGTTCCCTGATCAGCAGGCAGCATCTTCTAGAAACTAGCTCAAGGAATGTTGAAGGTAGTGGAGTTCTCTGGTCTAATGCCCCCATCTCACAAATTGGAAGACTTGAGAGAGAGAGACAGAGAGAGACTGACACACACACACACACACACACACACACACACACACACACAGAGAGAGAGAGAGAGAGAGAGAGAGAGAGAAAACTAGAACTCCACTGTAGGTCACAGAGACCTCCCTGTCTCCTGAGGACCTACCTAGAGGATTAGAGGCAGGAAGGAGGAGGCAGTGGAAGAAGTGATTCCTTGGGACCAGCAAGGTCTATCACCCAGCAGCCACAGGAGACAGTGCAGCTGAGTATTTGAGGGGGGTGGGAGTGGGTGGGTAGCCACCCGCCTCATAGCCCTAAGGGCTGAGTCACCTCTAGCAAAGGACACAGCTTTGTAGCCTTTCAACTCCCTCCAGAGATGTCTCAGCCACACCCAGGGCTTCAAGGTACCAGCTGTCTGCTGATGACCCTTCCATCCCCACTTCCAGCCCTGCCCTCTCCTTGAGCCCCAGCTCCCTGTACACGTTTACTGCATAGACAATTTATTCAATATGTTCTTAATGAGCACGAAGGATAGTCAGACATGGTCCCTGCCCTCCCAGGGCTCACAGACAACTCACATGGAAATGCACAAGGAAACCATAAAACTAAGTGGGTGCAAGGCAGGTGCAGGCTGGGGAGTAGCATCTTTGGAAGTTTAAATCAGGATGAGCAGGACACACCCCAAGAACTGACTGCTGGCAATCAGAGCTGGAGTGCAGTTATCAAGGGCGTGGGGTGGAAGTGCAGAGGTTAGGGTGGAAGAAACTTATGGAGGTACAGAACAGAATACCTCGTGTGTAAATTAAAACTAGGTTGTAGCAATGTTACAAGCACAATGTGCAAGTAAAAAGACGTGCACACATTAAAGACAAAATGGAGGAGCAGGGAAGTGAGTGGGGCGTGGGAGTTTGAAGAAAGAGGTGAGGTTGCAAAGGTGGGCAAGGACCTGATTATTCTGGCTTTGTAGGCCCCACAGAGTTGAGACTTCATCCTGAGGGCACTGGTAAGTCACTGAAAGGTTGGCTCCAGCTGTCCAGACACCTCCCCCCTGCAGGCCCCCCAGGTACACACATTCAAAGCACCCAGCAAGAACAGGGGCTGTAGCTTCCCCCAACCTGCATTCCTCCTAGGGTTCTTCCTTAGAAAGGTAAAGGGCAGGCAGACCCCTCCTGGCCCCCTCCACATACACACCTGTGGCTAGAGAGGCCCTTACCATCATCTCTACCCCAGATGCCATCCAGGCAGGACAGGTCACCCCCACCCGCCACCTTCAGTGAGGTAGAAGGGAATCCTGAGGGCTGGGCTAGTCACACACAGCGTTCTTCTAGGACAGTCAAAGAACCCAGAATGCAGCGGGAGCCAGACTGGGAGGGGGGAGGGTCAGGCTCCCACGAAGGCTCCCTGGAGGAGGCAGTGCAAGCTGAGACCTTAAAGGCGGTGGGATTCTGGTAAGCAGCGAGAGGGCAAGAAGGCGTTCCAGGCGAGAGGGACACCTGCAGGAAAGGTGTGAGGGTAGAAACGCTCAGGGCACGCGTGGTGGGTAGGATCTGACCAGCGCTTGGGAAGAGGGGCGGAGGGTGGGTTCCTAGGCCAGAACTCGCTGCCGGGGCATGCACACACTTTCCCCGGCGCAGTAATACTGGGAGAGTTGGCCCCTACCCAGGAAAGGCCTTGGCGGGAGCAGAGCGGGCAGTGGGCCATTTTAAGTGGCCAGGGTTTGGCTGAGAAGAAACCAGCCTTTTTTTTTTCTTCTTTTTTAAGAGAGGGATCGGGTGGCGGTGGGGATGGGGATAAGCTGGTTATAGGAACCCCTAGCTCAGGGCTTCTGCAGAGTCTCTGGCCCATGGGCAGAGGTGAAGGTCGGGACCAGGGATGACCTTGTCCCCCAACCCCCTATCTCTACTCCCATCCCCCACCCGTTTCATCCCCAGAGTATACTTTCCAGGCGATCTGGGGGTGGGGGGTAGGAAGGGGGCAGAGGAGGGAACGTTTGATGGGATTATAGTAAACTGCCTCGGGCTCGGTGGCGGTTAGGGCGTGTAGGAGGCCTGGGCTCTGCCACCGCCGGGTAGCCTGACGGACGCTCCGCGCTGCTCCGGGCCTCAGTGTACCGATCTGTAAACGGGGGCCGCGAGCAGAGGTGGGGATCTTCCCGACCTGCTCGGCCTGCCGGGAGTGTCAGAGACTCCCGGAACGCATGCGGGAGAGGGCCCGGGGTAGGGCGGCGAAGGGGCGCGGGAGAGGCTGGGGGCCGAGAGCGCCCGCGGCGCTGGCGCCGGGTCAGAGTCCACAGGGAGGCCCGCGGCCGCTAAGTTGGCTCGGGCCGGGAGGTGCGGTGCCTCCGGGGCAGGGGTGGGGGCGGTGCCACGGGGCGGTGCTGGGCGGGGCGGCGGGCGGGAGGCCCGGCGTGCGTCAGCGCCGTGAGCCCCGGAGTTTTCCACTGACGAGGAGGGCGGAGCTGCGGGCGGGGCCGGGCGCAGCCAGTCTCCCGCCGCCGCCGCCGCTGCCGGACGCGCAGAGCGAGGGGCTGCTGGGCCGACGGCTGCCCACCGAGCGAGCGAGCGAGCGAGCGAGGGAGCGCGGGGTCGCAGCGCAGGGGGCGTTCCCGGCCAGGACGAGGGTCGCGGCGTTGCCCTTGGCGAGCGTCCGGATCGCAGGTCAGCACCGTGGGCTCCGGGCCGGGCGACGGGACCTTGAGGAGGGGGTGTCCCGCACGGGACGCGCTGCTTCCCGGACCCTGCCGTTTGCCCCCCGCCACTTTGAGCGGGTGCCGGGGCGGGGACAGCCCGGCCCCGGACGGCACGCCACGGCCGGAGTCCGCGTCGGGAGACCGGGAGGCGACAGTCTCAGGTTGTCCGCTCCCCTCCCCGCCCCGGCGCCGGGACCCCAAGAGGTCCCGGCGCCCCGAGCGCGGGGCGGGTGGCTGCCCCGTGGTTGCGCGCTGGCGGCGGGCTGGCCACGGGCGCGCGTCCGCGGGTGAGTTCCCTTTTGACCCAGTTGCCTGAGAACTTTTCAGAAGTTCCTCGCATGGCCGGAGCAGGTGACATTTGTCGCCTTCCTCCTCGGGCTCCCCCCGGGGGCGGGTGCCGGGGCTGCGGCGAGTGCCCGGCGTCAGTCAGGGAGGGAGTGGAGGGGTGAGAGTGGAGTGAGGCTCCGTGAGTCACGGACCCCGGGAGGGAGGGAGGAGGAGGGATTGTGTCGTACGCTCACCTGTTTGTCAGTCACCGTCACACGCAGAGGCCACCGCTGTGAGTCATGGGCGCAGCTACACCGGCCACCCGCGGGCACATGTAGGCTTCCCCCACGCACGGCTCCCTCCCCAGCACGTACTTCCTACAGGTCCTCAGTTTCCCCTCCCGGGGGCCCTTACACCGGCACGGCACTGTTGAGATGCCCACACTACAGCAGCCGTCACACACTTAGTCACTCCTGCTCCCTGGCACAGTCACACACAGCCCACACTCCTGACACAAGGGGGTCCCTCCCGGGCTCCACTGCCCACTCGACACCTCCACTCAGATGTCTCACAGTCCTCTAGAGCGGAACTCATAGCTTACCCCCAAATCCTCATCATCACTGCCTTCTTTGGTCCCCACCTCCAGAGGTCACCGGGTTCCCTTCCCCTTTCTCCTAAGCCTTTGGCCTGTCATCTCTCACCTAGCTCTGGCAGCTTGGTCCAACCGGTCACACCCCCTCTGTCCCTTGCTGAGCCATCTTTTTAAAATGCAAATCTGGTATTGTCACTCCCTACTTCAACCCTTCTGTGGCTTCCTGTGCCCTCAGGCTAAAGCCTGCCCTGTCTGCCCTGGCTCCCTGGCTCCTGAAGCCCCCTCCCAGGCCTCCCCTTCCCCCTCATCTCTCTGCCTCTTCCTCTTCAAGTCCCTCCCGCTTCCTGTGCTCCCCTCTCTCTCTAGAGCTTTTCCTACATCCCATCCTTTACTCCAAGAGATCTGTCTTCACCCCCAGCTGTACCCCTCCCACCCTCCATCCTACCACTCAGCACGGTTTGTAACTCATTATACTCCTCCCCACTAAACTCAAAACTTCAAGGGGGCAGCACTGGTCTGTGTCTTGCTCCCTGTATGCCCAGGTGTGTGACAGGGTGCTTGGCATGTCTTAGGTGCTCCATAAATATTTGTTGAAGGACTGAATGAATGAGAGTGAAGGGGGCCTTGCTTAGGTGGAAGAAGCAGTCTCTGTCAGGTGCAGTTTCCTTTCTGCAGGAGCAATTGCCTCATGTAGCCAGCAAACGTTTGGCACCTCCCCAGTGCCAGGCCCTGGAGGCCAAGGCTGATGAACTGTCCCCTCTCCCGGGGATCACTTGGAGGGATGGGTGGGGGAGGGGTGTGCCAAGGCTTCCTGCCTGCCCTCTCTGGGCTGCCTTGGCTGCCTTTCTAGCCAGTCCCCATGGGGGCCTGAGGTGCTCAGAGGTGCTCTCTCCTTCTGCCAGTAAGTAGTTCCTGAGGATCCGAGGTCATCTGACCCCAGGTACTGGGGGGAGCTGGCCTGGCCTGGCCAAGGCCTGGGGCTCTGAGGTTAAAGGACATTCTTCAAATTCCTGAAGGAGGGTGGAGGCAGCTGAAGTTGCCCCCTTCTCAATACCAGCTCTCACTGGGGGCCAGGGCATTGGGACAGCTGTGGTCGAAGAGGAGTTGGTGTGACTTTTCAGAGGCCTGGGGATTCCTGCCCCCAAACAGCCTTTGTTTGCCTGGTATCCAGGGTGAGGTGGCCTTCCCTTGGCTCACATGGTGTGGCCTGAGTGTGTAGATAGTTGTGGCTAGTAGGGTGGGGAGGCGCCCCTCCTCCTCCTGGGCTGTCAGCTTCTGTGGGTGGTGACGGCAGGGCGGCCTGATTCTCAGGGCCCAGGCAGATCCCGGAAGAAGCCTGGTTCTCTTCGATTCAGGGCCTGTCTACGGGGCTCCTTGGGGGTGTGGTATTTCTGTCTGAGCAGGCTCCTGGGAATTGCTTTTCCTTCCTCCAGGACCCTCGGAGGGGGCTGTGCTCACCCTGGGAACGGTGCCACGGTCAGGATCTTGATTCCTGGGTAGCTGCTGAGGGCCCCTCCCCCACCCTCTGACTCACTGTCTGACACTTTTCTTGGACTCTTTCACTATCTTTCATTCCTTTTCTGACTTGGCCTCTCCTGTCTCTGGCTGAGTCTTTTTGTCTCATCTGCCTCTGCCTCTCTCAGCCTCTGGATCCCTAGGTTGGGCGGCGGAGCACAAGAGCCAGGGGCTCTTCCACCTCCCCAGTGTCAGGGAGGAGATGATTTCCCATTTCCAGGTCTGCAGATTTTGCTGGGTGCTCATCATTAGAACCTGCACCACGGGCTGTAGCTTTCCTGTGTCCCCGTTTCCCTGTCTGCAGCCTTGGAGTTTATAACCCCCTCACCTTAAGCTCCCAGTCTGTAGACATCCCTGAGGCAGAGCCAGGGTGTCTGGCTTGAACCTGCTTCCTTAACACTCCTTCTATTTGTTTACTCTTGGGGAACCTCCTGAGATGCCTGTGTTGGCACCTGCCTGCAGCCTGAGCTTCCTTTTCCTGCTCTCAGAGCTACCCCCTTCTGGGTGCTATTCTTGCTCAAACGCTCAGGCACAGGTTGGGGGATGGGCACGTCCTCCCCTCCAACTAACTGTGACAGGAGCAGGAGGAGGGCACACTGACCAGTGGGCCCCCGTGACCTCATGTGCCTAAATTGTTTCCCTGTGTATACCTGATCTGCAGCGTCAGCTGCCTACCTCTGATGGTCCTCAGGAGGCTTCTCTGTGCCAGACTCTATTCCAGGCACAGGCACAGTGCCGATCAGGCCGAGAGGCCTTCAGCCTGGCATGAGGGAGATGAGCAGTGAGACCATTGCAGGAAGGGCCCGTAAGGGCTGCGATGGGGGAATCCCAGAGCCCACGGGAGCCCAGAGAAGCATGTAGTGGGGAGGAGTGAGGGTTTCAGGGAGGCCTTCTTGGAGATGACTTCTAAAGGGGAGTGAGGCTGGGTTCCAGCTTGTGCAAAGGCCAGGAGGTGAGCAGGTCATGGCCATTTGGGCAACTGCAAGTTCAGCTGGAGTATAAAGTGAGGGGGCTGGGGAGAGTCTCGCATGATGAATCTGGAGGGGAGGCAGCAGCCAGGCCTTTATCAGCCTCTTTGTGGACTTGGGGAATTGTGGACTTGATCCTAAGGGCTCCCCTTAGGGAATGATTTTCTGCATGGGGGTGGCAGTAGATAAACACGCAGTTTAATAAGATCACTCTAGCTGTAGGGTAAAGAGTGGCTGCGGGCAGAGGGCAGAAACAGAGGCAGGGGACATGGGTAGTAGCAGTGGAACAGAGACATAGGGGTAACAGACTTACAGAATTGAAGGTGACATACGTAAAGTGCACAAAGTATATGAATCTTATGTGTACAGTGAGATGTTTTAGACACTCATGGAACCACCACCCAGATCAACATAGAATATTTCTAGACACCCCTCACCCACGACCCC